TTCTCCTGCTTCTGTAGGCCGGGAGCTGTGGGGAATACTCCCCCCCCCCGCGAGTATCGCGGGTCCCGCTTCTTGTTGCTTTTAATAGCATGGAAGGGCTCCTTGTGCTAGAGGGAAGTGCTACCATTAGCCAAGAGGATCCACAGGATCCAGCCCAGGACCTGACTCTCGAGAGCAAAGATGATCCACACGAAGCCGGTGCACTGCAGCAGAAAAAGCTGGCTGAGCCACAAACTCCCTAGTTCAAATCCTTCCCGTGACAAACTCACAATGCAGCCTCTGATGAGACACTCGCTCTCTCAGCTGCAGGCCCTGCCCACCCTGTCCTACAACGCAAGGGTGTCAGTGAACTACTTCGCAGGGCTGTTGTAATGATTACAACAGAAAAATTCATAACCCCAATTTTTTTACATAAACGTCATATTAAATAAGGTTTAAGAGACTGTTGTAGTGTTTACAATATTTACACCTGTCTAGAGAAGTGTTGACAATATTTACACCTGTCTAGAGATGTGAAATTTTGAAGCTCGGGAAAAAACCCATTTCCCCCCTTTTTTCGGGGGTGAAACGGAAATTTTCGGAAAAATTGAAAAAAAAATGCTACATTAGCACTTCTTTTTTCTTTTCCACATTGAAAGTCATTCTGTTACTTTAGGAACATAAAATATGACTATGGACAATTTTACTTAGCATGAAATTATCACAACCAGCATATTAAAAATAGGGTATCCAAACAATTATTACAAAGTTTAATTTGTAACCTAGGACTTGCTTGTCCTCAGTGCACAGCAATTTGATTAATCTGATACCACACATATTTTTTAGAAGTTATTTGGAAAATATTTGAACACCTTGTCTTAAAATATTTTACTCATGATGTTAAAACAAAACGTTCCATAATCTTCTCTTTTCTTTTTTCAATTTTTCGGAAAAAAGCAAAAAAGGCTTCAGGGAAAAAATTGAAAAAAACCAATTTCCCCCCTAATGTTTCCAGTTTTTTTCTGGGCCTTCACATCTCTAAACCTGTCAGCTAAACTGCACAGATTATTTTATCTGCTGCTCGGCTTCGAGCTGCCATCACTGCAAAGTGTCAAAGGTTTTGATTGCCTTCCTGGGAAGCAAAAAAAAAAGGGGAAAAAAGGCAGCCCACTATGCTACAGGGACCCTTACAATCTAGTAAATCTGCAAGAATGATAATCTTGATTCAGGAAATATAGGGAAGACCCTCTGCTCGGCATGTGGAAGGTCCCAGGTTCAATCCCTGGCATCTCCGGTTAAAAGGACCAGGCAGCAGGTGATGTGCAAAACCTCAGCCTGAGACCCTAGAGAGCCGATGCCAGTCTGAGCTGACAATACTGAACTTGAGGGACCAAGGCTCTGATCCAGTTACGAGGCAGCTTCACGTGCTCTCATGTGTGATTTCAGTCTCTCTTCTGGGTGATCCAACCATTCAACACAATTGTTTTTTGATTCAAATCGATCCACCCCGTGCCCTCTCTCCAGTAACCACCCTTCTTCCCTGCCATGTTAGATGCTGACTGGGAAGGTGCCCCACACGACTGCAGTCTGCCACAGGAGGTGGCAGCAGCCACAAGCATGGACGGCTTCAAGAGAGAATTAGATAAACATATGGAGCAGAGGTCCATCAGGAGTTATTAGCCACAAGGTATAGACAAGAACTTTCGGTCTGGGGCAAGGGATGCTCTGTATTCTTGGTGCTTGGAGGGGCAACAGTGGGAGGGCTCCTAGTGTCCTGGCCCCACTGCTGGACCTCCTGGCGGCACCTGGTATTTTTGGCCACTGTGTGACACAGAGTGCTGGAGTGGATGGGCCACTGGCCTGATCCAACACTGTCTTCTCTTATGTTCTTATGTCTGGGGCAAGTGATACTCTGTATTCTTGGTGCTTGTGGGGGGGGGGGGCAACGGGGAGCGGGCTT